TGATTACTTTTAATTTTCATGTATACAGATTGTATCATAAAAAAATCCAATGGACTATAATCCAAATTTTTAAGGAGAAACTTTAACTGGTTTTATACTTGTTTAACCAGTGATCATTAACAGGAGATAATTCACATGAAATATTTCCATTGCTTCTTATACACGGACTTTTTAATCTGCGTGGCTTATTCAGAAAACATCCTGATAATATAAGTGCAACTAAAATAAAAAATAATGACTTTTGAAACATAGTGAAACCTTTTTTCATCTTCTTACCAAAAAAAATTTAAGCATACTCCTGTATTTTCTTAGATATTACATTACTATAACTATTTTGATAAGAGGTATTATTTAGACGTAACTTAATATAATCATCTATAATTTGCATTGCTTCTTCCTCTTTATTTCGTAAAAAATGATTAGTATCACCTACTATATAATATTGCATATATTTACTTTTTACTGAGTTTGTTACTCTTGTAACTAAACATGCTATGTCATCTTCCTCTGAAAGAGTATCGTTATCACCTTGTATTATCAGACCGGGAACTGGACAGGGCGAGAGAAATGAAAAATCATAAGTAGTTGCTGGAGGAGAAATAGCGACAAAACCCACTATTTCTGGACGACGCATTGTTAATTGCATAGCTATCCACGCTCCAAAAGAAAAACCTGCTATCCAGATTGGAACGTTGCTAGAGTTATGTTCCTGAAGCCAGTCAATTGCCACTGCAGCGTCAATTAATTCTCCTATGCCTTTATCAAAAGTACCTGTTGATTTTCCTACACCACGAAAATTAATCTTCAACGCAGAAAAGTTATTATTAATAAAAGAAGTATATGTGTTGTGTATCATCTTATGAGTCATATTTCCACCATATTGTGGATGATGATGTAAAACTAATGCAACTGGTGCATTTACATCTTTACTTTGATGATACTCACCTTCTATTTTTTCCGTTGTATTATTCAAAAAAACTTCTACCATGTTTTATTCCCTAATTAAAAATTTGCTTTACAGATGGCATACAATTAATTAATGTGACTTATAAAGCCCGTATATGTCATATTTGTTAATTATATATTAATTTGACTGTACTCGCAATATATTTTTACCATTTTGATTCTTGTAAAGTTACGATGTAATTACGGTAATCTCCTAAATAATATAGAAGTATGTTAAGTGATAGAAGCAAAGGTAGTAGTTATGTGTATGCTGATTATAATGCCACTACTCCGATTGGTAAAAACGTAAAAGAAAGCATACTGGAAGTCCTATCACTGCAAACATTTAATCCATCCTCGCTTCACAGAAGGGGTCAAGAAGCAAGAAAAGTTCTCCAAGATGCAAGAGATAATGTACGCAATTTTATTGGTGTGCCGGACAATAAAGAGATAGTTTTTACTTCTTCTGCCACTGAAGCAAATAATCTTGTTATGGCAGGAATGAAGGAATATCAGCACGTCATGTCAGCAATAGAACATCCTTCTATTCTTAATTCTGCACGTAACCCACACATAATACCTGTCAATAAAAACGGAGTTGTTGATCTTGTAGAGCTAGAAAAAATCCTAAATAAACTTAAAGGAAATAAAATACTAGTTTCAATAATGATGGCAAATAATGAAACTGGAGTAATACAACCAATCAAGAGGATAACCGAAATAGTCCATAAATTTGGCGCGGTATGTCATACTGACGCGGCTCAAAGTATTGGAAAAATTAATGTGAATATGGAAGATCTGGGAGTGGATTTATTAACCTTATCTGCTCACAAATTTGGCGGTATAGTAGGTAGTGGGGTACTAATATTCGACAAGAAATTGGAAATAAAGCCAATAATTTTTGGTGGGGGACAAGAAAAAGGACTACGTGGAGGTACAGAGAACGTCGTTGCAATTGCAGGTCTCTCTGCAGCACTGCATAATATTCCAGAACTCTTGGTAAAAATGAAGGAAATAGAAGTTTTACGTGATCAGTTAGAATATGAACTACCAAATCTTACTAATATATTTGGCAAAAACTCTGAGAGATTGCCAAATACTAGCTGCATTTATATGTCAGGAGTAAAGAATGACGTGCAGCTTATGAATTTTGATTTAAACAATATTGCTGTTAGTAATGGATCTGCATGTTCTTCTGGAAAGATTGAACCTTCTTATGTATTACTTGCGATGGGGGCTACAAAAGAGCAAGCAGAGTGCTCAATTAGAATTAGTATAGGTTGGGAAACCAAATGCAAAGATATAAAAAAAATAATAAATTGTTGGTATAGTATATATAATCAAAAGGCTATAAATTCCGATTCTGGAGATCTCTATTAACCCCAACTTTAACATGATTATCTTTATGTTACGCAAATTAGCTAATTCTTAAGCTTGCAGACACCTTCTTTCATATTTATATAAAATACTGTATTTTTGGTATTCTTCCATAGCATGCTCTTGCTCTATTTCTTCCATTTTAGTACCGGGTTTAAAAATTTTATGTATAACACGGCCAAGTGGATGCCACTGAGGCAACTGATGCTATTGCACCTACTATACGTGGTGCATCATATATAAGACTGTCAGTGACAAAGTGCATACGCTGCTGTGCACCTAACAGCATTTTGGAATAACGAACAATAAGACCTTATGCATGACTATTTTAGTCTCATCAAGACTACTACCTACTTCGAAACCATATTTTTCACCCCATCCAAGAAGTACTACGATTCCTGTTGTTACTTTAAATAGTAATCTATAGGAGTTTTACCATTATTGTCACTTATCAAGGGATCTGCGCCATTTTCTATCAATACTAATACATTCCTTTCATGAGGATAATTAAAAACCATCCAGCGTAAAGGAGTACTTCGATAATCATCTTTTACATTAATTTTACTCCTTTTGTAACAGAAATTTAATTGTACTTGTATCAGAAGATGCAGGAGCTTGATGTAGAGAGTGCCTCGTTCTGAGTCTTTGGCCTTAACACCTGTACCACAATCTATTGTAATTTTTATACATCTACACTGTAATTGTATACAGCTTGATGCAAAGGAGTTTCATTGTTGTTATTTCTTGCATTTATACTTACTCCTTTTCTATTAGAAATTTTACTATATCTGTATTGCCTTCATTGGCAGCGCTTACGTAGATGACCATTAGTGATTATTGCTCCTTTCTCTGCTAGTAACTTTACTATATCTATATTTTCGTACATGCTAACTACATGATCTAAAGGATTGATTAAATTAACATCTGCTCCTTTGGCCATAAGAAACTTTATTATTTTTATATACTTTTTGTAATTATCAGCATTTCCTTCGTGATAAACATAACGAGCTTTACTTGCAGCAATATATAAGGGAGTCTTTTTATCCCCTTAAGTATTTACATTAATGTCTGCATTATTTTCCAATAGAAACTGGACCATATCTATATTCCCATCCTCAACAGCTTGATGTAAAGAATTATATCCATACCTATTGTGGATATTGATGCTTGCACCTCCGTCCTTTAGGTATTTTGTTATATTAAAACAACTATATTTAGCGGCTACATCCAGTAATATACCTGTGCTAAATTTATGATCTAATGAAAACTTACCATCTTTCCACAATTCATACTCTTCCTTATATAATATATACTAATATAGTGTCATATTTTGGGTATAGCTCAACCAATTTCTTCTTAAACTCTTATTTTATCTTTTCAGCTATGTTGCTTAAATTTAATTTTTTATTTCTGTTTAATACTTACAATATTTCATATATCACTTCCGCAACAACATGCTTTGAATATACCGCATTATTGCTTTCATCGAGGAAAGAGTCAAAGCAAATTTGAACCTTTATATTTTACGTAAAAAAGTGAATCTCTTTTAAAATTCTATTTATATTAAAAGAAAAGTACAAGCTAGTATTGCAAAATACTTCACACCACCCATCACTTTACTATAATAAGTATTTATAAAAAGCGTGAGCATTACATAGAAGGAAAAAACCAATTTTATCAAAAGGACTAAAAGAAGATAAGAAGCTGAATTAAGCAATCTTAGAAAAGAGGAGGAGCGATTTAAAGAAATAATATCCAATGCAATGCAGCTAATTAAAATTAGTAACTTAAAAGATAAGATTAGTGTATTAAAGGGATCAGTTTCTTACCCAAGTGACTACGTTTTGCGTCACTTATAGATATGGTTTATGAAGAGAGAAAAATGTTCAAAGAAATGAAAATTTATACGGAAAAAAGTTAGATCAAACACTAGACTCTGTGAGTCTAGGAGATAAAATCTCATGCAAAGGTTGGTAAAAATTGCAGAAAGGTAATGTTATGATTCCGTATCCGTCGCTAACGGCAGAGCAAAAAGAACATAATCGATTTCAGGATGCGGGTAAAGATAAAATCCGCGAGATCAAATGTTTACCACAATTTTCAGCAACATAAAGTTTAAGACTCCCAACTGTTGGGAGGTAATTTACACGCTATCAGCCACTTCATATAACTATTTCATGAAACTTTAAACACTTATGGGCCTTACTCTTATGAGCTCGTATGCGATCAATAGACAAAATTCAGATTTATTTATACTAAACCCTTGCCATCGTACTCTGGGACCATGTAACTAAAACATCTATCATTTTACTTTATAATCATTAACCACAAACTTAAATGGTGTTATACCTCTCATAGTTGTCCGTATATTTGACAAAGTAAAGTCGATCTTAATAATTTGATTCTGAATTTCCCTATCTTGTTCAGTTATAAAAATTACAGTGGCGCTACCAGCAAATTTTACTAAATCTACGGTTGATTGGTCTATAGATACTTTTGTTACACTTGTTTTGATGACCTTTTTCTTATGTGCGGGTGAATCACTAACTTCATTCTTTATTTTTTCCCGAAAATTCTTATAAACTCTATGGGTCGAATTGTTTTTTATAAAACTTGTTTGATAAGCAAATTTTGCAACTCCGCGGGACTCATATAGCTCAACATATTTTTGTATCAAGTACCTCGCTACAGAAATATGTTCATTTTCTTTTTTATAGAAACTGAGTTTACGTATTACAGAAAGCTCATCATCTCTATGATTGATATATTTTACAAAATTTAGATCTCTTTTGGTGGGGAATAATAAATATATATCCAATAGTAATAAAAATACACACACTGAGAGAAACAATACTACCAGTGCCAACCAAGATCTTTCTGTAATGCAGAATAAATACTTATAGCAATACCACTCAACTCCCCTATTAAAATAACTTTTATTTTTTACTGATTCAAGTAAATTATCTTCCATAATCTAAATTCAATGAAGTAATTATAAATCAAATTCAATAAAAAAGCTTAAAAATATTTTTAATTCTCTTGAATTTGAATAAAATTAAACTTTAGATATACATTTCATAAGTATTAAAAACATCATAAAAAAAAGAAGATAAAAGAGCTGTTATTGCAGATAAAAGTATTTATTGAATCAGTAGAAGAAAATCTAGGCCCTGTGAATAAAATTATTTCCCGAGAATAAAGTAGAAGAGGGAATGAAAAGTCGTAATTTAATCTAATTAAACAAAATGGAGAGCTACCGAATAGAATATTGTAGCCTTTCTCATAATAACTCCTTAAATGAGGATAGCAGCACTCTCTGAAACTGCACACCCAAATACCACTGAGGTTTAAGGCGATAAATCTCTCATGCGATAGCAATTTCTACTTCCTGGCCGCTTTTTTACCGTTTGGCAGAAGTTTTTCTGCAAAATTTTTGTCAGCTGCTTTGCAAAAAGCGTCTATAAAGCAAAATAATTTTGTTATATTTTTATTCATAGGTAATCTCTCTATTTTTAATAGTATGTTTTATACATTACCACATTCTCTGGATTTTTCAACTCTTTCTAATCCGCAACCAGGTTTTATAGCTTCGTTATGGCCTACGGTTACACTAAAAGATTAAAAACTCTTAAGGATCTCACTCCTTTTGAATTTGCATGTTCTAACTCGGCAAAATTTCCTGATTGATTTATCTTTATCCTCACTATCATACTCTGGGACCATACATCTGAATGATTAGATCACATGAAAATTATAAAGATGGTCTTGACGCATGAAAGAAAAAAGTTCATCATGGAGAATGATCTTATATTGCAATTTTTTTACACGCTCAAACAGATATTTGTGTTTAGTTTAAAGAACATATCTGAAATAAATCGGGGAAAAAGAGCTACTCATTAAGTGCTGCTTAATTAATAAATTAATTAATATAATCATGCCTAAGTTTGAAATGACTGCTTAAGTTTACATATACTGTCTTAATACAAATAGCTATACAACAAAGACTCCAAATTGGAGTAAAATGTCTAAATTTTAAGGATTCATACTTGTGGAAAGGTGGCTGAGCGGCCTAAAGCACATGCTTGGAAGGCGTGCACATATGGAAATATGTCGAGGGTTCGAATCCCTCCCTTTCCGCCATATAAAGCGCTTGTACCTATCTCCGCTTAAAATTAGCATAAACTAAAATCTCAATACTACTCATGGCTAAATATATAAAGTTTTCTGTAGATCTTGTAAGTAGATCATATTCCCTTGATAGTCTTCTATTCCCATAATCCAGCAAAAGTTCTTTCTATAACCCATCCCCTTGACTGTATTTTGAATCCTTACTCCTATAATTCTTGCAAATTTCTTTACATTTTCAAACTTCAGACTTAAAACTAATAAAACATACTACTGCTTTAAATACTCCTTCAGGTCTTGATTTTGTCTCGCCGCATTTGTATATGCCTAATTCATATCCTTAATTTGACGCGTATGGTTTATTTAATACTTCCTTC